CTAGCGACATTTTATATATACTTTGTCTCATTTTAAACATATGACAACACCACACAAACCTAATCTTTGAGTGGGTCCTATTGAAAAATTGATGGGCAGACAACACTAGACTAGAGACTAATGTGAAGGCCAACTTTTTTTATGTGCAATATAACAAGGGATATTATAAAAAGTAATATAATCGTAATATTTTCATAAATCTTTCGTTTTAATATACTAGAAGTCGAAATTGATTATTTGACTTTATTAATGCAGTCGTTTATCATTCATTTGCACTGGATCCTTGGTCCCTTTTTAGCACTTAAGTAATTTAAGTATTAAACTTAAATGAACAAATAATTATTAGTTGGTGTAGAAAGAAACCAAATAGAAAAAAGTCGGCACTTCCTGAGATTGCGAGATAATGAAGCTTATGTAAAACGACAATTTCCTTATTCCTATCGAAAAGACAGCAAATACATTGTACGCGCCAAAGTCATGTTCAGACATACCAAATAAATGCTTTTACAAGGTCTTTGTTTTCTATGTTACTGATGTGCTTCTTATAAAACCAAAAAAAATGCTTTTGTAACAGTTTATGATAAATCAAATTTTTACAGGAATTGAGTGAATTAGTTATACTACGTGAAGTTTATTCAGAATTTTTCTTGCTCGTCGGTTTCATAACAAGATAAAAAGTCGATCGGAAATCATTTTTTTCTTTTATAAACACTTGTGTTTTTTATTAGTTTACTGATATAGACAATATATTTATTTATTTAGTACATGAAATGTGTTCGTGATTAAAAAAATAGATACTTTATGATCAACTCATTAAGACTTTGAATATGATTTTTTTGTTTTTGATCGGTCAAATTATGCATAAGATTTGTTTATCAATCAAATTAGTGAGGTTAAATCGAATCATCTGGATCACCAATGTACAAAGAACAAAAAAATATAAAATATTTCTGGTTCCATAGCTTCATTACCATCGTCCGTCTATTTTAGATTTATTTTCATCTTTGGTATAATAATGCATCTAGAATATCTCTGAGTTTATGACGTACCGTCGCAGCTACTGGTTGGTTAATCCCAAAGTCAAAGCAATTATTTTGAAATACATCATTGTAATCAACGACCAATTTATTTTATTTAAATTACTAGAAAAACTACTAAATTAATCAATGGAGTACTATACAAGAGAGTCAACATAACTACATAAGGCAACAAAATAAATTAAACAAACAAAACAATAATCAAGATGTCAATATCTTGAGTATATCAACATATTCACGAATTCAATCATCAAAATAATAAGAAACTAATAAAATGTATCATCAAGATTGTTGAAATATAATTTTGTTTTAGAAAGCTCTAATCTTTCATTTTCTTTTTCCAGACCTG